TTGTAAATCGGTCGGAACGCTTTTGCCACATCCACCGACCAGGAGCTTATCCGACCGTGTTCGTGAACACCACCCGACCATGCTGATGGCAATCAAGTCTATGACTAGCGCTGGGTGTTCGCATCTCGGTGAGTTAAATCACTTGGTCGGTGGATGTGGCAAAAGCGTTCCGACCGATTTACAAGGTTCGACGTAGTCAATCAAGAACGGTGAAGCATCGTATCTCAGCCACCACAGAAGTCGTAGAAATCGGGATTCACACACACAAACACCCTTGTGCGCCCAGAAGAAATTGGTGCAAGAACTCAACCTCTCCAGGCTCACTTCCTCCACCTCAACACGTGTGTAATCACTTTGACACTGTGAGCAACTCCAAACAAACTCGCACGCATACACGTTGGGAGCCAAAGCTGAACTAATAGAACTGGAATTTCTCATTCTCGTTTTTTCTTGTTATTAGTCATATTTAATGTTATGTAGTGGCGTGATTATGAATAACTGGAAACGAGTTTGCTCACCACGCTGTTGTTTGCAGTGTGTTCTATGGGACTATTCAAATATCTACATACAACTTGCTTGTGGCACGGTTCTAAAGTCAATTATTAGCATATAAAGTACGATTATTTGGGCAGACTTAGACTGTTTTGTTTTTTACTGTCATCCGACACAGGATTTTTACTGACCTGATTATCGGGCGTTTTTACTCAGAGGGTAGAGCGTTTTAAGGTAGGCAAGATTTAATCCAAGACACCAGTCACTGTCTTCTCCTTATATTTGTGAACGTTCCATCATTTACTTGTATATTTTTGGATTACGCAGACTACATTTTTTGTGCCATTTCCCAATGCTGTTCTCAATAGAAGCTTGGATAACGTGTCACTTTTCAACTCATTTTATAGTCTTGCATAAATCGTATCCAAATATGCGCATGGTATCTTTAGCATATCACAAACACCATTTCCCAAGGGCAGTGAAACCATAATTAAGAACTCTATCTCTCTCTGTTGATTTGGGCAGATTCCATCAAATTTTCTAGGAATTCCTATTAAAATGTACGCGTATGAAAATTGGAAAATTAATGACAAGAAAGGGTGAAAATTCTGAACGGTATTCCACAGTTGGACATTTGACGATAACAGGAACACAAAATGTACGCACTGCTGACGTGTCCTAAACAGGATAAAACACCTGTTTAGTGGTCTTTGTCGATTTTCGCAAACCTGGCAATCGCATTTCAATGACTGTCTTATTTATAAAACACTGTACACCAGAGTCCGAAATAACTGAGTTGCAAGCCGTGAGACGAGAAATTACATGATTGAGTTTTTCCGGAAATAAGCTGTTGTTTTTTATTGGTCGACTGGCTTCGGTGAACTTATCCATCAATGCTAGTATTAATGCATTGGTATATGAGTTTGAGTTAAAAAGTAATGTAAGGATGAAAAGTCATTGTGCCCTGAATGACTCCAGCAAGGTAGAATAGGTGCAGATAGTATTGAGCCCCTTTAGGTGTCTTGAGTCACTGATGGAATACGACCTCCGATTTGTCTACTGTATGTCTCCTCCGAAGCACAACAGCTTTACACGTAAGTTCCTACTGAAGCGATAAGTATCGACCTGCGCTCACACACCTGTACATGCGCTTCCACTGTCTTGGTCTAGAAGTAAACATGCGAATTATGCACTGTAGTGTCAATGCATAGCTGACACGACTAAGGGATTCTTAACACCTCATTGTTCACCTCTTAACGAATTTAATTTCTCCGTTTGGTAAACCGAAAGCTTTTTGTCCGAATCGATTGACAAATCGCAAACTAATGCTGGAGTGCAATTTTACTCATCCGTCCCGGACAAACTTTTCACTGAAAAAAGTGATTTCATTAGCTTTATCATCGCTGCGCGTAAAGTATTCACACACAATACTGCCTTAAGTTACAACGACGATGGAGAGGTATCATCCTACGGAAAATGAAATTTATAGCACAATCACATGGAGTTTTGTTTCATTTTATCCTGTGACCGTTTCCTGTAAACCGATCAGCGAGAACGATAGGGCAGAGGTGAGTTGTGAGAAGGAGCGGTTCGAATATGCATTGCTTTTAATTAATTAATTAAGACATAGGTAGATACGGTAGCAAGAGAGGACGGTGTTTGTGTGTGTGAGAGATAGAGATTGGGGGGGGGGCGTATGAGGAGGGGGAGGTTGTGAAGCCTCAAGCAGAACTGAGAAACACTCCCAATCACAAGTCGTAAGGCGTGTGTTCTTTAAGAATGAAGTAGACTCAAAGTGGTTGCCCACCAGTGAAAGCACACGCTCGTGTTTAACTGTGTGTATCCTGGATTTGTGAATGTCGTTTATCAATGTTTAGTGATGATCATAATATCAGTTTCTGATGTTTTATTCCTTACTGGTCTCAGATAATGCACCTTTTTCGGTTGAATCTACCCAGGTTTCTGGCAATCAGGATTCTTCGGAGAACTTTAACCAATCGAACCTAATCAATTCCTTTTCACTCTCTCTCTCTCGCTGGGGTGTGACCGCAGTCAGCTGAATGATGTCCTTTATTTTCATAGGTTTCTTTGATGAACAATAGAATAGCGGAATAATGGAAACAGGAAAATTGATCACCTCCAACTTACCACGGCAAGCAAAACATAGGAAACAAACATATGGGAAAAATAATCCAGAGAGGGAGAGATTTTCGCTCGCCGAAAGCGCTTCATGCTGCCACATAAAGGTTATTATCAATTCTCAAGACAGAAGTTACCAGACTCCGGAAAAATTGAACCAATAAAAAAATCACACGGGTTCACCGTTTGAAAAGTAATGTATTGTGTCCATTGTATAATATGTTGCATTTTTCATTCAATGGGGAACAGCGCGGTCGTTGAAAGATTGAAATATGGGTAATTTAAAACGCTCCAGATGTTAAAAAGCAGTTCACCCAGAGCTATCAGCGGCAATTCAACAAAATGCTTGTTTTCTTCTCAAGAAAAACCGTTTATTTTGATCACTTGACTGATTTGCAACTGATCGATAACTGATGAGATTGATTCGGATTCGATAAGACCGCAAACTTTTCAACAGCAACCTAAAGAACAGTCATTTTTGTTTCATGCGACACCACATCTGAACTCATGAGAAATCTCCGAATCAAAAGCTTGATTCAAGCGCTGTCTCTGTCGAAGGATTTTGAACTAGGCCTTATGTGATGATTGCAGCACCGTGGATGGTCTCTAAATGTGAACTTTAAAACTGGTCAAGTCACTCGTGCAAAAAATGTATTCCAAATATAGTGTGAGAAAAGCTTAGTAATATGAAATTCAGATAAAATTACAAAATTATATATCTGTCTAAAAGACAGATCCAGTAGCTAGCTAACAACGAAATCACGACCGCAATAAACCAGAAAAATTGTGGTTGCAGTAAGCGTGTAATGAGGTAAGGGGTGAAAGGAGGGAACCAGTACGAGCCAACGCCTTTTCCCCCTAAAGTACGAAGGCGGAAATATTCGGCAATGCCGTGAACTGCAAGCCACAAAACGGAATGTGGGGGGACACAAGTCTGTGTACAACAAATGTGTCACTATGCTTTGGTGCTGAAATGAGAGTGTGAACACATTGTGACGGGATGTGGCAAAAGGAGTATGGCAACATTTGTCCGAAGCTGACTGAACAATCAGCCAAAACGCGAATCACCAAAAGCGTTCAAACGAATTCACAGTCGTCCACCAGGATAAGACTAAGAGTACACCGTTGTCAAATGTTATCAAATCCCTGATGAATAGAGATAAACAATGATCGCAAATATTATTCCCCTTCAATTCCTTTATAAGCACTATGGTAGATATTTCTTTGAATTAGGTTTATTAATGTACTCGTGAGTAGTAACAATACAAAAATTAAAAGAAAAACTGATAAATAAAGGTGACATCTACAATCTTATATTAATAATAATAATAATAATAATATTATTATTATTAATATACTATCTGAATGAAATCAGAGGTTCGGCTATATTATTTTTCGCACTTTAGACTCCCAAACGGTATCGTATCAACGACAGATGCATCAATCGGTTATATCATGGGCTAAGTGGTTCATACACGAGCGAGACAACGAGGGAAGTACATAGCATCCTGTGGGCAACTAGTGAACTCAATTTTCACCTGTTTTACAGCTCAGGGGTATGCGGTGTTATCAAAGTGGAATGGATATTACTTGCTCATTGATAGATAGACCCCTGAAAGGCAATTTGTCACCCGCGGGATTTCTCGAATTGAATGGGAACCACATGGTGAATTTGATCATTTCTCAGTCAATAGGTTTTGCTCAGTATAGTAAGCAAATCAAGCACAAAGATCTGCTCGAAAATCCTCAACCCGGTCTGGACACGCAGCGCGGTTTTCACTTTGCGGAGATGCAAACGCATTCAAGAAGGTTTCTGATGATTCTTTGAGTCTGATCCTCAGGTCGGATGATATACTAATCCCCAAACACAAATTATTTGATGAGTACATCGTGTTCTTGCTTTTCATCACAGTGTGACAAAAACGTTTTATTTCCAACCAATCAGTCATTCCCCATGAACTGCTTCATTTTAAAAATTCAAAGAAGTATGCAAATATGCACTAACTGAAATTCGTTCAGCGTGGTTTAGGATGCCTATGATTGTGAACTCATCAGTCAGGTTTTCCGAGACGCTTTCAAAGCATAACACACAGTACATGAAAGGGCATGTTTTCGATAAATTAACTCAAAGTCTATCGAATCTAAGTTTGTTTGAAGCAAAATTAGACAGGGTCATGTTTGTCGCAAGCAGTCAAACCCCTCTCTCTCTATGTAGATAGATGACCCTGACTTGACCTTGAGAATTTATCGTCGTATGAACGAACAATTTTAATTCCCTTCGATCAAAGGAGTAAGAATCCAAGTCTGTTGTTGGCACATTTGGAGCTTTTTGCCTGGATGATACTCGTCTCACACACGGCTAAAAACTGAAAAGTATTGCTGGAGAATATGCATGGGCAGTTATGAAAGCTCTGTACCTGTCAACTGAGTTTTATGTTCATTTAAAGCGACTGTAAGTTCGACCTCGGACCAGATTTCTTCAAACAACAGGTATTGATTGTGCTATTTGGTGCAACAAAGTGCCTCACTATGTGATAACACAGAAATGAGAATGAATTCACCGAACCACATGATCATGATCACTCTTCGTCCTTATTCCCATCGAGGATAGCATGCATAGAGCGCGAAATTTGGTTTTTATCCCCTATTTGATCCAAAACTGACCTTCAACTTGCTGAATTGCAAACCTATCTCATTTACCGATGACGAATGATTTGGAAGTCAATTTAAACAGATCCCATTGATTTTAAAGTTCAGCGTCCCAGAAAAGTCACCTATTCCTATTCTTGTTTACAAATCACACTCAATTCTATCTGCCGCTGAGCTCACGCACACATACACGCGCACACAAAAACTTAAGTATTACGCAAATCTGATACCGATTTCCCATATGCATAAAACTGCATCAGCCAGATGACTAAGTAATCCGAAATCACCTGATTACCTGATTCGTTTTTGTCCTGAGAATCACAACTTCAGAATTTAACTTTACTTCAACCACATACCTATATTTGTACAGTATTATTAAGATTATTATTGGTCGTAAACAGCATTATCCAGGTATCGATCAAACTCATACAATATCATGAGTTTTCCAAAATTTATTCATCTCTGAGCTAAATGTTTGGATCTTCATGAACGGGAACGTGTACAGTATTATCCCATTTCACATATAACATTTCTGTAATATTATTCACTTATGTAGTTGCCTCCTTTAGTCTACCGTACCTTAGAAGGGTACCATGTGTAGGTTCGATGGTGGAAGCTGAAAAATATTTCTCCATTCAGAATCATATTGCACTAGTTCAAACTAAGCCTATTTCAAACTAATTAAAATTTAGAAATTCCACCCTACCTTGTTACCATAGGTACGATTCACCATGGTTTCCATAGTTTGTTGTTTATCATAGTGTTTTTAGTCCGAGAATCTATGTCTAGATTCGTGTACGGCCGCGATTGCCTGCGAATAACACGTGAATAAACATACAATACAGCGATCAACCAAAAAAAGCAAAACCTTTGCCTGGGACACCATAGAATTTCCAATATAACTAGTGCCATCACAGCGATCAGATCACATAAAGTTCCCAAAATTATTGCACGACACTGTTTAAGCAGAGTTGCAGTGACAATTTTCAAATTAGTTGTCTTAAAAGAATTCACCAGCCTAATATTGGCGCACACAATACTGAGTGACCAGATTTAGAACCCGTATTGTACTTTATGCACTGAAAGCTGAAAAAACGTTTCACAGAAATATAAGGCAGTCTCGGTTGCTTCTCGATTATTGTCTAATCTAATTAGCTTCCTATGGAGACAGCATTCTGACTGGGAGTATGCTACTCTTAGCTGGATTCTTGAATCTCGATCGCATACAAAAGAATAATGCAAAACGTGAATTTCAAGAGGAATTTGTATTCTCATTAAACAGATTAGTAGTATATTCCTTGGACATCAAGTTGTATTCAGATCAATATGCCCATGATCACGTCCATGCCACCTCACCGTCAATTCTGTATGCCCGGATCATAAACGGCAATGTCCACAAGAGTGGAGGGGATAGCTTCATTCGGTGATGCTACAAAAAGGTGGTTTTTGGTTACCAGAATTCCCGCACAGCGTTCATGATGGAGGCACACTCGAAATTCATAGCAGTTGTTCAACCTTAATCGTTGCTTCTAAAGCGGGACAACATTTGTTTTTTTTCGACTCATAGTCCAATTATAACATGTACACGCACACACACAAGTAAACACAGCTAGCGGTTCCAGCAACTACGCTGTACAGAATAATGACCAGCCACGGAAGAAAACAATGATCAAACAGGAACTTCCGTCGGCAAAGTACTACAGTCTACATAACCTGCCGCGCAGTTGATTATGATTCACAGGGAAACTAAAGCACTAACTCGGTGAAACATACAGAGAGAGTCAACGATTCAGGCACCTCCAAAAGCAACTATCTTTTTCAATGTACTTGCTTCTTGAGGTGCGTCAGAAGGACTGAAAGCCGGCTGTCGACCGGAATGAGTGAGCATGTTCCGAAAAACTTGTCACTTTGGGGAGGGAAAAATTTCAGGAAGTGCAGTAGCACAACATGTGTTGGATATCAGAAATTGCACTGACAAACGCAAGGCTTTTCGTGTTTTCCTCAAAAGTTGAAACTCAAGGATGCTTAGGTTTGCCTAAGTGCTTATCATTAACCGTTCAAAGTCTGACCTTGTGTGAAAAAGGCTTTTGTTATGTAGTTTCTATTGACAGGGTAATTTTTGGGTACATTTCCTCCTTCCCTTCTCATCATCTCAGCCGCTCCTCGACCCTTTTGTTGACGATTCATCCTTTTTACTTCCGTATTACGTAACGCTTTTAACCCACTTGATTTAGCCATGTTCTCTTCCGTTAGCTTTCTATGTTTGTTCTAATTCATTTCTGGTCTTCTACAAATGAACTGTTCTCTTATTTGATATAATGTTACCATTTTCAACTCTGCTTCATCCACGTGTAACCGTTTCCTGTGCCAGCATCTCCTTTTTCTTATCA